GAACAACAAACAGTAAGATATGAAAATACTGCTCAGCAGCTTTCATGAGAATGACTTCTTACAGACTTTGAAGGGCAAAAGCGATGTCAATGAAATCATTAGCTTAATTAAGAAGTGGCTATTTAGATTGGGATCATTTAACTTTGTTAGCATTATACCATGTCTATTTGGCAGCATCTCCAATCGCTACCGTTAGCCCTTTTGAGTTAGTGAACGTTAACTAGTTAAGGGTCGTTTGGAGCATGATTAAAGCACATTAGCTCATATTGAGTATTTAAAAAGCACGGAAAATGTGCACATATTTTCATATGGTATACAAAACTAAAGATATCACTCAAAGTAACTTTAAAAGAATCTTGGCTGACGCAAATCTTCATAACCTGCTTGACTCGCTGTTGTCTTTTGTACCCTCGCTACACTCGACCTGTGTGTTGTTCGTCTGTACAGCTGGTTTACACAGGTTATTTTCAGCCATAGGAACATAATACTCAGGAGAAGAAAAGCTGTTCTCTCCTTGCTGCTTTTCTCCTGCTTTATCCGCCATGGGTTGATAATATTCCGCTGAAGAAGTCGCACCTTTTATTTCCGGAGCTGACTTAGGTTCTCCTGCCACCGGTTCGTAGTACTTGGGTGATAAAGGCCCAGGTTGGTTTGGTGTTTTTGTTTTCGACCCCTCCATCTCCATTGGAACGTAATATTTTGGCACGAAATTGCTATCGTTAAACACGTCATTGCCCAAGCCACCTTCCATTGGTTGGTAATATTCTTTTCCCGGCCTTCCTGTCGTCATAGTCGACGCCGTATTGCCTGGTGGCACATTCGTGTCATTAACAAGCTCGAGATATTCTGGAATGGGCTTTCCCGGGTTATCATAATCGGGGCGATTGTCCAAGGACCTAAAATCTAACTTCTCGTACTGCCCGCTTTCGTTGAGGTCCTGCTCGGCATCAAGCGGTTCGTAATTAGCGACTCCTGCTGTGGACGGGTCCAGGGTTTGGTACTGGGGGATGGGTGGGAGAGTGGGATGTCTCCTTAGCCCCTTTACTCCCTTGGCCCCTGAGGGAGCCGTGCGAGGTTGTGATGGATTACCTTGGGTGTCTTCCGAGATATCAGTATAAGTTTCCTCACTGGTCTCTACAAAAAGAAGAACATGGCTTATTTGAGCATTCTACAAGAACAAATCTATGTAGACTCTACATTTGCGCAAATGATCGTGTTTTCTCGTGTTTGTATCAGTCCTCATTTAAGCTCACTGCAACATTATGTGGATGTCTACTAACCTTGATCCCTTCTCGACTTTTTAAGTCGCTTATAACAAACGATGACAACAATAATTGCAACAATTAAAAGAACACCAAGCACAGCCGACAAAATAATCCACAACAACTCGTCTGAATCTTCTTCTCTCCGTGAACTTGGACCCACATTAGTGGGTGAGTCTGCAAAGAAAAAAAAAACTCTTAAAAAAGATTTGGCAGGAGATGGCTCGCAGTGACGCTTCTGCGAAAAACTGAAACAACCCATTTATTAATAACGTTAGTATCAGATTTTCTTTTAAAATGAGTGAGCTAATGTTTAAAACGACAGCTGCAAAAGCTGTTAAAAGTTGGTTTTCATATTAACTTTAAATGAAGGAGAGAGTAGGGATGCGAAGAGGTACGCTGAAAAATAATAAAACTGATAATTAACTAGAGGCATTAGTAACCACTAAGTGCTATCTCTCGTCTCGTCTCTCGTGAGACACATCTCGTGTCCCTGGTTGCGGTTTGTAACATTGCAAGCAACATTTTCCGCAATAGTTCCAGTCGACGCAACTCCGACAGGAAACATGTTTGCGAAATATTGCTGATGCAGCTAACAAGTTTTCAAAATTTTGAATCTTCACAGAACTAGAACGGCGGCGTAAGCTGGATCGAATAATTCAGAAGACTGAGTAACCTTACCTGTTAAGCACTTTTGCTCTCTGGGGGCAAACGAGATCAAACATCGTCGAATCTTCGTCTTTGGGTCAGAGATTTGCACAGTTAGAAGGCAAAAATAGCTAATTATTGCGCTACGAAATTTTGGCGGCTTCATCTTTTTTTTTTTTTTTTGACACACCCACCTTCAACATGAACTCTAGTAGAAGTCACGCTCATTCCCTGATTATTTTCAGCCACACACTGGAACACAGCCTCATGCCAGCTATCCACATTTACTAGCTTGAGAATGTTCTTCTGTAATTTTACTCTTGAGCTGGAAAGGAACAACATTTTGGCTCGTTTTGAAGATATACATGACTTTCTTTCCCGTTTGAAGGACTAAAATCCTGAAAATGGTACCTAAATTATGGAGCAGAACCACAGAAGAATAGTTACAACTCAAATTAATGGTGATTTGAACAGGTTGTACTGTTACCATGGTATCCTTTTATGTCATGAAGAAGACAGCATATCACATCTTTGTTAAACAACGAGGCATTTGTGTGATAGCACTATAGTAGCATCACTTATTTAAGAGTGATAGTATTGATCTGTCAGAGTCAACTGCTGAAAAGTGCTACAGAGTGTTACCAGCCACCTTAACGTTAGTTAACGGCGTTGTTGAACTTACTCTGAATCATCAATTTTCCATCCATTTCTAAACCACCGGTAGAGCAAGGGTGGTGTACCGCTCGCAACGCACCTCAGTGAGGTTGTTTGTGATCTCGCTGCTGAGGTATTCGATGGCAATTCCACCTCCCATTCGGGTGAAGCTAAAATTTAAGAAGAAAGACATCATCGCAATCATAGTTAGTGGAGGGGTCCCCTCCACTAACTATGTCGTAATGAAACTGAGAAAATCGCGCCTTATACGCCTGGAAGCATTTGTGATCCATCTGCGTGATTTTTGTTGCATTCACTTGCATCATGTTTGCGTGACAAACCTGCGTGACTGCGAAGTTATTTACTTGCGTGATTTACGCATGCAGAGGGTTGTCTGAGGTTTAATAAATTAAAGTTTTTAATAAATTGAAGTTATGGGCTTAAAATTACCGTGTTACCACGGTAAACTTTCCTCGTTTCCAATGGTAACGATATCGTTGCCTGCAATTTCGCGTGCTTTGCTGCCAAGGCCGACAGAATGCCACTAGAAACGGAGCCAGATCCCGCGACAACAATACAAGTTGAACGTTAAAACCTGGTCACCAAACTTTCGTCGTGCCATACTCAACTGATAATCATATAGTATTTTTAAGACATTTCTTTTCAAACCTTTTACGGTTAGATATGTCGACGCTGAGGCCTGATCGAAGATTCCAGAGGTTGGGTGAGCTGTACAAGTGTAATTTCCTTGGTGTTCCTGTGTCACATCCTTGATAATCAGTAGCCTGTTATGATGGTCTGCTGGGAGGTAATAGCCGTCCTCTCCATCTACAATCTTTTCTCCATCTTTTCTCCATATTATGTACGGTGTGGGCCTTGGGAGAACAAGTGCCATATATCACATACCGAATCCTACGGAAATCGAACCCATCTGTTTGCACGCTCATTCCCAATCTCGCCCCCCCTCAAAAAAAGATACAATACCGAGAATAAGAATACGGTATTTTACATTACATACTCTAGATTTCTCTCCGTGCTTTTATGGGATATGAGGACAGATATAAATTTTGATGTGTTTCCTCACTTCGAATTTATACTATGCCCGCTTGCCTTTAAAAGCGGCGAGGCTAAATCAAGCCATTCATGTATTACGTAAGGTTGAAAATAAATGGAATGGAAATAAATCATTTCCTTCTACCCACAGCACAACAACTTGAAACATTGAAGTATTCTTACTTTGCCACACCGAGACAATACAGCTTCTTCTGATATCCTTCTCTAGCTTCTTCTTGTGGCTTCGGTGAGAAGTAAATCGATGGTGCCGTGAATCCCGTGAATTCTGTTCAACAGCAAACACAATGTGACGGTTAAAATCACTATACACACCACAGCCCATACATCAACTAAATTTGTATTGTTACGGAGGATAAACTTTCCAATAAGTCAGTTGAAACTCCGCTAAGTTAAACGAAAACCCCATGCGAGCAGATAATTAATCATGGTCCCCCAGCCACATACAGTTGAACTTCCGCTTACGGACACTTCCTCTGAGAAGACATCTCTGGCAAAGCGAACAGTTCATTGTGGTCCTAGCCACAAACAGTCAAACTTCCGCTAAGGAACACTTCCCTAGACAGATATCTCTCGTATGGTGGACAATTCGTCATGGTCCCCCAGCCAAATACACGCAGTCAAACTTGCGCTTACGGACACCTTCCCTAAACAGACACCTCTCGTATGGCCAAACAGTTCGTCATGGACTGGACCCACCCACATTCAGTCGAACTTCCGCAAATGGACACCTTTCCCTAGACGGACACCTCTCTTGAGAGGACACTCAGTCATTGTCCCAGCATCATACAAACACTATTATTAATTCCCATAAATGGCTCAGGTGGACAATAGTCTGATCCCATAGGTGTCCGATTACAGAAGTTTGCGAAATCCAATTTTCTCAGTAAATGTAATACAGTACATACATACATACATACATACTAAATTTACAAAGTTTAAAATTGAATATTAAGAATTTAGTAGGTAGGAGACTACGTTTGTCGCAATTACTTAATTTCTCTTTAGATTTAGAGATAGAGAAGTGTCAAAATTGTCAATTGAGGCAACTATTTTTAAAATGTCATGCCACAATCTACTAATAATTTCTTTTCGTTTTCTTTACCATTTACAAAATAATCTTCAAATCGAGGAAAACACGAAAATAACAGTTTACTAAGGTAGAAATTAAAGAGGGAATAACAAATCAACAAGGCATAAGAATGGTAGAGTCTGGGGACAACGGAGAAGGGTTAAGAACGACGAAGTACCAAGCTTGGGCTAATTTCCGTGAACTTGCTCCCTTAAATCTCGAACTCTTACCGTTTCCCTGCTGCTTGAAACTGACTTTGTGAGAATGCTTTTTCCCTGAGCCTAAAACCATCTCGCACAGTATTCCTCCCATTAAATTCACTTTGAAAACATCCTGTTTTGTCAGAAACATAATCACAAGTGTCCCATCTAACGTGACTGCCACGCGTTCGTTTTCGAGAAGAGGACGAAATGAGCTGGGATCCCCGGCAGAATTGTACCCGCCCCACCGATACGTGACACCGAAGCTCGGTTCGTGCTTCGGACACGGTATTTCAACGGGCATTCCTAGAGTGACTGGAGCGATTTTGTCATTTGCGTATATAAAGTCTCCTGCAACTGAAAGATAAATGATTACAAGTTAGTATAAAAATCAAAGAAATCAATATTCACTCTGAAGTGGTGCCACTAACCAAAAGAAGCATCAATAACCGGTAAGGTTATCTAATTTCGCATGATAGCCCCTGTGATTTAACTCTGATCTACAGTCACATCCACCGACTTTATTTGACACTTTTTGGGAAAGACAGTTTAATCTTATCTGTTCGAGGCATAGTTTTTCATGGATGATCAAGGTCTTTATAGTCGAGAAAAACTGCCTCTTCTTGAGACTGAAGATAAAGGATTTAAACGGATCATAAAGACCTTCAAAGTCCAATTGTACCAGAAAAATGTGCCATAGAAAGGTTTTTAAAACATTTGGGAATAAAGTGAATGGGAGAAGTGGATGTAAACGTCCATTGAAGTTAAAAGCTAAGATTTGTAGCCGTCCGAAGCCTGCTTCCCTCAGTTGAAAAGGTTGAGCCAATTCGCCAACAAACTGCCAGCGCCTTTTTCTGGTGTCTGAAGCATGAAGTGGCTAGAAGGATTGCTACTCCACCTCCCCTACCTCCTCCCCTGGATAAGATGCTTGGTTACTCCCCGACCGATATTCTGTCAGGTTACCCAACTATTCTCGGCTATCCGTTTTTCTCATGGATAGACAAAGGTAATGGGAGAAGTAAAAGTGTTTTGTTGTCAAAGGAAAACATAGAGGACCCAATTAATTTTGTTGTAGTTCCACGGTGTCCGATAGGCCATTTCGGAGTTGCCTTTTGCCTCTATGTCAAAACGAGTTAAAAACCATTCATATGGAAATATCTTCCGCCTACATGTTCAATTTCATGAAAATCAAACTCATTTTCATATGAAAGATTTTGTACGAGGACTCGTTTTCAAACAGAGGCACAAGGTAACTCGGATATGGCCTATCAATTTGTCCAAAGAGCAATACAGGAGCTTGACCAGGCTCCAAATAAGACCACTGGAATCCGGCATGACTCCCAAGCGGAACGATACAAACTCAGTTATGTTTAAAAGAAAAGTTTCCTGAAGTTAAGATTATTATTACGACGATGACAGACTTAAGGGCTACGAAGACAAAACTTACCCGAAACAACAACCTTTAGCTTTCTACTGAAATCCTCTCCAAAATCGTTTTTCACGAAACATTGGTAGTCCCCATTATTCTTGGAACTGAGCAATGTCCCTTCTAAGGTTCCGGACTTCAGCAATCGATACTGCTCCCCGTATTTAATGTCCTGGCCATTATGTTGCCATTTGTACTCCAAGGGACTGGTACCGGATGCTTTGCAAGGAAGGTTGAACCCTGACAAGACATCTCCAGGCTGGTCTAAATTATCATACTGGAAATCCGTAATGAGAGGCGGATCACCTAAAAACAATTTTGAAACGTTATTCAGTTTTTTTTAAGTCTTGATAGGCCGTTACCTAAAGTAAATGGTACCGCATGAAAGTACTGTTCAGTAGCTTTAATTTATATGGTGTCAAGCTGGATTTTGACCCACGCGCAGAATTGAAAGTTACAACCACCTTGTACCGCGTAATATATAAACAGTGCCACATGAAAGTACTACTCAATAGCTTTCATTTGAATGGGCAGACACTCGGGTTTCATCCCCAGATTTCAAGTTAAAAAGTAAACAGTACCACATGAAAGTGCTGCTCAATAGCTTTTATTTGAATGGTCACACACTAGGGTTACGTTTCACCCGCAGACTTTTAAAAAGGTTGGAACCACCTTGTACAGCCCAATAGACAGTACCACATGAAAGTGCTGCTCAATAGCTTTTATTTGAATGGTCACACACTAGAGTTTCGTCTACAGACTTAAAAGTTAGAGCCACCTTGTACAGCGTTACAAACAGTACCACATTAAAGTAGTGCTCAGTAGCTTTTATTTGAATGGTCACATACTAGAGTTTCATGCACAGACTTGAAAGTTAGAACCACTTTGTACAGCATAACAAACAGTACTGATTAGAGGTTTTCATTTGATCGAATGGTCAAGTTTAGGAGTGAAAAACTTCGCGCCACTTACCTGATAAGATGTTGTGGACCTCCTGAACAAAACAAATCCAAGTGAACCATCGCCGTAACATCGTTCAAATAAATGTAGCAATTCCTGCAGTAATATCGAATTACAAAAGTTATCAATGGAGAACATTGCTCTTATTCTCAATAGCTGACCATTTCGAGTCGCAAATCATGAGCTATCGAGATACAAACGCCAGCTTTGCTACTGCAAAATTATGATAATTTAGGTTAAATTTAGTACTTGAAAATAGCTTAGGCTCGATTACCAGCCACTGTAGATCGGACTCGAGAGAACGGCAGAAAATGAGCCTAAAGTAGCTTTGATAAGTAAAATTCGTTCATACTGCGCGATCCATCGTGCGTGATCCACGCGCGCAATCGACGTAATTTGCAGTTCGGTGTACGGGCTCAACGATGCGAAGACGTATTCAATATTGGGTTACTTACATAAAAACATCATGAAACATCATGAAACATTAGTTCAAAATCATTACGGGGAACTAAAGCATAATTTTGCAAAATTGGATTTGACGTGCAAAAAAATTTAGTGACTACAGTGTAGTATCTCTGTTTTCGGCGTTGAATGGTTCGAGAGCGACCGATTCTGGGCCAACCGTGAAACAATCGTTTTTTTAAATCCCCGAGGATTTCATCTGTTTGTGCTGATCTAAACTTGAAACTGCACAGCAAAAATTCGCTACACAGAAAACGAAGGCAGCAAAACTCCGCAATATACAACTATTGGATTTCAAAACGCTCCAAACCAAGATTATTTAGAAGTTACTGTAATAATAGTAATAGTGGCAGTCACGGCTTCACTGATCTTCCATCTATCTGTCCTAAAATCAATTCGGCATTATCTGACTTAAGATATAAATTATGATTCTGTTGATATATATATTTTAAAATGAAAATGCATATATATATATATAGTCAAATGACACGCTTACCACATTTAAATCCTTAACACTTGGACATAAGACATGGCATGTTTTGATAGCATGAGTCAAGAATCTTACCCAGCTGTTTTGTTCCGTGGCTACCGGATTCACGTCGAATGTTATCAACTTTCTGGCAGACACATCGAACAATAACAAGTAAAGAACCTTCTAGGATTAAGAACCCTTGTTAGCCACCACGTCGGGCGAAAACTGCTCACTGCTTACATGTACTTACCACGCTTCGCTTCTGTCGTCATTTTCGTTACATTTTAAAGAATCTCGACACTGTTATAAATGATTAATTGCTTTTTTCTTTTTTTAAACATTGACGAGAATGACGGATTGGAGAAAAGTGTGAAATTGTTTGAATGTCAGGAAACTGACTGAATGATAAAAGGCTATTTGACTACGAAGCTTAAAACAATTTACATAGTGTTTGTTGATTTTAAAACAACACCAACTCACGGGAAAATTACTGGCCCGAATGCGAATAAAATTTAATCGTCATGAGTTCCTGTTCTTTGCGTCTAAAAGTTAAGAAATGATACCTCAGTTTTAAAAACGAGTTGGCGTTTTTTGGTGGCAAAGGATGCTCGCAGTTTTTGTCAGAAAACGCGTTGATGTATTCGGAATTCACAAAACAAAATTAAGGCAGAGCGGCACCATGGAGTCGGAGTAAACATGCGTGCCGTTTTAACCCCTGTGCTTAGCGCTATTTGGCTTAGAATAGAGAAGAATAAAAAACTTACCTTATAGGTTGAAATTCTTCAGAAGTGAGATCTCGCTGAGCAAAGGAATATAAAGCAAATGTTCTTTTGAGCTGTAGTAACGTTTTCAGGCTTAGGTCAACTGTAATATGTCAAACATGACCGCTTATTATGCAACGGGACAATAGAAATGATTCGATTGTTCAGAGCATAAGCTCCGAGATGAGGGAACACAAAAGAATTAACATAATAAAGAAAGCGTAAAGCCTAAATTTAACCACGTGCTTTGGCACTGAATCCTAGCGACGCATTATCAAACTTTTAAGAGGTACTCGGTTCAGTTCTTTAAATGCAAAGACATTTATTTAAGGGTCTTGCTCGCTAAAGGAAAATTGAACTATTTATTAAACAGTTTCACCGCTGGTTTTAAATTTCGATTAAACTTTACGAAGTGAAAAAAGTGAAAAACCTCATTAAGGCTTTTCCTGAGATAAGAACATAATTATACATGGAAGACTCTCTCCAAAGGCTGCTTTCCTATCTCTACGATCACACTGCCCAATCGTTGTACTTCCTAAAGAAAACGTTAAGCGATTCTTACGAGACCAGTGTTCATTACCCAACCCCCCTCTGGTGGGACTCCCATTTAAAAAGGACGACGTGCTCGACGGAAATTTTGAAAAAAAAACCCAATGAACTCTTATAAGGTACCAAATCCTGTTTATTGGAACGTGACTTGAAATGTTCTAAAACAACACATTATCTCCCGTCATATTTTTTTCGG